CAGGAGGTCAATGCTTAAAAAAGTGAAGCAGTCACGGTTTTCAAAATGTGATGTGTACGAAAAATTGTGAAAAAAAAAATGTTGAAAGTGGAAAATTTATTGCGGTGTTGTTTTTCTTATTGATTTGTGTGCTATATGCCTCAGTGATGCTCTTGTGCGCTAGTGAAAATGTTTAATTCATGTTTTGTAAATTTTGGAAAAATAAATAATATGCAAAAGTGATTAAAAGAAATTACATAGTTTCGAAAACCATTCAATCGAAAAACAAATACAGTATGTTCGAATGAAGGTACATACATACATAAAAGTGATGCGCTGTTTAATTTAAAGCGCAATCAAAAAGACGTGTCAAAGCGGTGTCAATAATAAAAATATCAATTATAAAAATAAACAAAAAATTTTAATAAAGCCATGAAAACAATCAAAAAAATTTAAGAAATAATCTGAGCATAATTTTTAGTTGAATTGTTGTTTCTGACGCAAAAACTTATCAGTCAATGGAACAAGAAAATCTAGTATTATTTTTTTTTTCTTAGTTTTCAACAGATTATTTGAAAACACAATAAAAGAAACGCGTAAAAGCAGTGTGCAGTACATGAATAATTAATAGAGAATATAAAAAATAGGAAATGCTAACAAAATAATAACCTTGGCTAGCTTATAATTAAAAATCTCGGTTTTAATTGCTGGCGCAAAAACTTATCTGAAAGCAAGAATATGTTGTGAGCATAAGCAATGCAAGCGATAATTTAACACACAATCGCATAAGAACGGTGTTGAAGGCATGAATTGTTATTAATAATAAAAAAAGTTGTAAAAATTAATTGTTTTGCTATTAGAAAAAAAAACTTATTTGAATTGTGCACAAGAAAAAAAAATATTTTTTTTTTTAATTTTTAGAGGGTACGCCATACAGAAATTATGAGCAGATTAATTAAAAGAAATCAAGTAAACGCGAATAAAGAGTAGTATTTAAGTAAATAAAATATAAAAAATAGTATCTTATATAGAGAAAATATTTAGTTCAAGTTTTAGTTTTAAGTTATTAGATTAATATTTGTGATTGGTGGGCCATTGGACTGCAGGATGTGATAAATTGTGAATTATAACTACCTATGTATGTCGAAATGTTGAAAGATATTAAAGATAAATAACTTACTAATAGTCACGTACTAATAGTCACGTAAGCAATTTAAGTGCAAAACGATTTATTTATTTGAACTTAATATGGAAACTGACAGAAAAACAAAAATTTTTCACTAAATTGCTTTCGTGAAACCGGCAGCAAGGTATAAAATTCCTTTCCAAAAAAATACCAAACAATTTCTAAGTTCTTTGTAACTATTATTTGAATGAATGTGACTGTTGGGACACTGAAAATTCATCTTTACGGACTCAAAGGCGACTTTTAGCCAAAACAATTAATTTTTAAGCCACAATTTTTTTGTGTTATAAAATGTATGCTATAAGCTTCCGTTTTCATAAAAAATTACGCTGATAAAAATATTTTAAAATATTTCAACTTGAGACTGGTGAGACAGATTGTGGTTGTAGCGGCCGGTCAGCCTAGGCAGGGCTTGTCCCTCAATCGTTGTCGTCAAGCTAAACTAACGGGAGACCCAGGAATTGTGCAACTTCAACTGGGTTAGTCCTTTGGGACAGAGGTGTCTTTTGAGTGGGACAGGTCCCTCTGACTGGTGTAAAGTAGTTATGTATGACGTAGCTTTTTTTTTTTAATCATTTTCAACAAAATAATGAGATTTAGTTATTTAGCATTTTAAATTTTATGTCGTTTTCTTCTTTTATCTGGAAATACCCTCAACAAAATTCTGTCTGTATGTATTGTGTACTAAAAAAAAAAACTATTTTAAACAAGAACCATCAACAGATTAATTTCAAATTTAATCAAATAAGCGGTGTTCAGTTTTAGAGTATTCAAGATTATCAAAGGAAAACACATAAAAATAATTTATGCATAATTTTTAGTGTCAAATTTCAGTTTCAGTTTTTTGTATACAAATAAAACATGCACGTACATATGTACATAATATATCTTTACTAAAAATCTTTGAGCATATAACTTTTCTTAAATTCACTACAGTCGGCTTTATTCCTAGAGTATTGTTAGCGAACACCGGCGGCAAATGCGATGCGTTTAAGCGCCGGCAATTTTGCGGTTGCGGCAACTGACTACTCTGGTAGGTACCAACCAGTGCAGTGCAATGCGGTGGTCCATGTGCTGATTGAGTGCTGAAACGGGTGTTATTGAAGGACCACAAGCACATGATTTACTGATATGCATACTACATACTAAATACATACATATGTACATATGTACATATATACATACATTAGACCGCAACACTCGCCATTAAAAAAAAATTGGTGCTGTTTGTTACATATAAATTTTATTATATTCTAAGACTTTCGCCAAAATATTTCGGTAAATATTAAGATTTACGTTACGTGGACCAATTTGAAAATACATGCATACCTCCAAAAATGGATTTTTTTTTAGCAAAAATAACGAGTAATTCAAGTTTTTCTTAAATCTATCTTTGAAAAATGATGAAAAGAATGTCAAAAATCTCACTTATTATGATTCCGTTGAAAAAAAATTTTAATATTTCTATGGAGATTTTTTTAAAGCTTAAGCAGTTTTGACATTTGAGCTGATTTTTTATTTTTTTTTCAAAAAGTACTTTAAGAAACCATTTGTATTCATAAAAAACTCCATTTCTGTACGTATTTTCAAATCGGTTCAGCTCACGTACATAAATTTTAATATTCTCGGGAAACATTTTGGTGGAAGTAGGGATGTCACTGGTAAAAATATATCGATGTTTATATTTGATTCGATGCATCGAAATGTACATCGAAGGGCATACTTTGATGCATCGATTTGCATAGGATTTCCCAGATAATGTTTCAACACAAAATATGTTATTAGCACAATTGTACAAAATTTGAAATAAATTACTGCAACTGAGCTAATTATTTTTCTAACGTAACTTTTTTTGGTGCCATTTCAATTCTTTGGTAAAAGTCACTTCTCTTTTTTGTGCAATTGAAAAATTTCAATGACGGCTCAATGTACTAGAGATGTTAGTTTTCAAAACACATGGAGCATCGATACATCGAGTGGAAAATTTTCGATGCATCGAATCATAACATCGATATTTCTCCGACATCCCTAGGTGGAAGTCTTCAAGTAAGTATAATACATTTTGTAATCTCGGCGGAAAATCGTAACTTATTTTGGTGATGCAGTCTAATGTAGTATGTATGTACATCCATGCATATGTGTAAGTTTATCGCATTTTAATGCCACAAATGCGGTCACACGAGGCTGTAAATCCGTTGTGCGTCCATGCCGTCGCTTAAAAATGTGAAACAAACAATAATAAAAAATAGATTAAAATACAATAAATAAAATAAAATCAGAAAACCAACATGAATTGATAAAGTTAACTCACATCGACAGCCATATGCTGATTTACACTGTTAATTTTGTGTCATTTGTGTATATATACGTACATACTTACATATGTAGATACGTATATGTACACATATATACATACTACATATATACCTATTTATGTACATACATACATACACAGTTTATACATTCATAGATTCAAGTTGCTTGCTTAGCCAGTTATGTAGATTTGCCCCAAATTTTTGTTGGCAGCCATAGTGCTAACGCGTACCAGCTCCAATGCCGCCGCCGTCGTCGTCGTCGTCGTCGTCGTCATCAACAGCTTAGAAATTATTTCTAATTCTATTTTACTATTTTCGTTTATTTCTTGCATTATTCAGTGATTTTTTCGACACATATTTGCTTGACTTTGAGTATCTTGAAGTAAATTCTTTAAATTGTGCTAAATATGCCGATGTCAACACCATCCTGTCCCGTCTGTCAAAGTATTTATTATTCGCTGTGCTAACACTCACTCGTTGGTACGAAAAAATTCTGCTGTTCGACAGCAGTGCTGTTGTTTATTTTACTTTCCACACTAACAGCATAGCGTGTGGGTGGTTGGGGTGGTGTTCGTTTCGTTAGCAGTTGAGGTCGCTGTCGCTTTCGGTGTCGCTGCCATGGTTGTCGTTGCCGTCGCCCTTACATTTTTCTGCAAGTCATTTAACGAGTATGCATTACTATTTGATTGAAATTGAACACCTGATCGTGGCAGCTCGTTGCCTGCAATTGATTAAACAGTAGTGCACAAAATCATAATATTAGAAATTTATTATTTAGCGTGCGCGTTATTGTGCAAGTGAAATGTGCACGCGTGTCGAAAACTAATCAAATAGGTATGTACATATATGTATTACAAACTCGTATGTATGTACATATGTATCTACATATATTTGTGTATATGTACCTAGTAAAGAACATTCCGGATTTTTCCTAGGCTTCCATTGCTACTCGCACGGTTGTTGGTTAGTGTAATGGCATTTACAAAAAAATAATACAATAGCGACCGACCGATCCATACATACATATGTACATACTATTGTAGCAAGTTGAACGAGTAACGAGGCAGTATTTTGTGCTTGTCAGTTGTATTGCTTTTAGTTCGGGCTACTACATACATCAGTTAAATGTATGGCGTTTGAGGTCAACGGCATTACACACCATCTTCGATGTCAACTCTTCTTGCTTTTAATATAAAACGCACGACAACCGACCCAAAAATCGAAGCGAGCGGCCAACAAACGAACGAACAACAAACAACAAACAACTAACAACAAATTACTATTCTGGGCTAGTGCGCTTTGTTGTTTTTGTTAGTATGTACTGCAAGTCCTATTCGTATGTATTATTTTTAGTTATATCTATCCATTCTTCTCCAACTACCGCCTCCCGCCACACTATTTACATATGTACATATGTAGCTAAATTTACACCCGGCAAGCGACCGACCCGCTATATAGTATCTATAGTGTTGATGACTTTACTTTTGTACTTACTTTGTGTGTGTGTATGTAGTTTGTATGCTGTCGCTTGTGTGCTGTCGCTTGGGCTTTGATAGCAGCAGCAGCGGCAGCACTCTCGTTCACTATCTCTAAAAAGTATCTATCTATGCTAGTCGTTCATTTCGTGTCGTATAAGTTGAGTTTTCTTGCTCCTAGTGTGTGGTGGCTAGTTTGTTGGCGCGCGGGTTAAACGTGCTGTGTGACGTATTACATAGGACGTGGTGAACGTGTCGGCTATGTGTACTATATCTCTACTAATAACCTTCGGGTGTAAACAAAATTTAAATGTAGAAGATGAAAATCATACAGTAAGAATGGTATGCAAAGCGAATAGTTTGGCAATCAGCCTAAACATGAAAGGAATTTCTCGCTTTTGTGTTGTACGACTGAGTATATGAGAGGAGAGATAGTGGGTGTGGCTGTGTGTGTGTGTGTCAAACGTGCGCAGGTGCTTGCTGGGTTGGGGTCGGATGTTTTTGCTGCCTATCATCCATCCATCCATATTCATACGTGCGTACGTGTGCACGCTTGATGAGCATAAAAGCGAAAATGATAACCTCACCCACCTCTTCGTCCCACATACGCGCACACACACACACACACACACACACACTCGAATATAAGTAAACTTTACACAAGCAAACAAACAAAAGCAATGACTAATCATGTTACATCTGCGCCTTTGACCAGTGTGGCGTGCACACATATTCATGCTTACATGCTGCTGCCACTTACCCAATTTTGATTTTATCGTTTTTGCCATCCCCCCCCATCAACGTTTGTCCGAAAGTCTTTCGTCCGTCGTTTGTCCGTGCATCGATTTTTGAACGGGTTATTGTGCGGCAGCAGTGGTGGTGGCGCGCACAAGTACAATGGGTTATTGTAGGTGAAATTGTCGTCACTGTTTGAATGCTCGTATGAAAATGGCATAATGCTGATTGTGTCATTTGCAAATGCCGTCGGCATACAAATGAAAAATTAAATAAATTGCTATCAGTAAAGTTGAATGAAAACAAAACCGCAAACTGTTTGGAAAATTATAAGAATTATTCTAGTGTAAATATATATTGCTTTCTTATGTAATCAACGAATATAATAACTGCTATTAACTCGCAACGATAAGGAAATAGTAAATATTGGAAGAGAATTACTAATTCAAGGCGATAATAATAGCTATTATCGTTATTATACATAAAGTATAGTTATGTACACATGTATGTATGTACATTAGGGTGCGTAACAACAAAAAAAAAAAACATTTGGTTTTCCCTGTGAATTATAAAACATATTACATATTATATTAAATCTTCCGCTAAAATTTTTCATAAAAATATTAACATTTACGTGAGCTACATATACCGAGTTGAAAATATGTACATATTGTACGAAAAATCTCATCATTTTGATTTCGTTGATGTATTTTTTTAAACATTTTTATGCATACTTTTTAAGCTTAATAAACTGCTTTATCATCCGTGGTTATTTTTAGAAAAAAATATTTTGAAAAACTAATATTATTTATACATAACTTGAGTTTTGGCGGTACATATTTTTAAATAGGTCCAGCTCATGTAAATCGTAATATTTTTCCAAAATATTTTGACGGAAGTCTTAAAATTTAAAAAATTTTATATTTCCGATGAAAAAACAGTATCGATTTTTTTTTGTATGGAGCGTGATGCACCCTAATGTATATGTTACATACAGATTATGATTGGCATACAATTTTTTCTGCTGGTGCAAAAACAATTATATACGTAAATATGTTTTAAACTCAATTGCTTGTTCGATAATCATTGACTTTAAAGCGAAAATAATGACGAAAAAATAATATGTAACATTCATCAAAATATTAGTAATATAGCATATGTATGTATGTATGTATTATAAAAAAGTAACTTTGAAATGATTGGTGTATAATAGATATAACAAGTGTGATTATATAGTGATAGCACAAGAATGATAGAATACAAGAATGCGCCGATCAGAGAGGATTTTAGAGAATAACTTTTGTGTGACGTCACACTGGTGCAATTGCGAGAGAGAAATGCCAAAACGTGAGCAAGAATGGAAGAAGAAGAAAAAATGTTGCAAGGAAAACGTAAACAAGTTGCACAAGTGTGACGTCATGCAAACAACGATTCTGTCAAATTAGTTAAGAGAGGAATAGCGGTCCGAGATCGGCGCAACCTTTGTATTCTCTCAATCGTGGTGATAGCATATCTTAGGTGCTTAACGGGAATATAGGCGGTTTGTTCGTCTTTTACCACTGCTGAGTGCGTGGACAAGGTCATGTCTTCCGATATTTTGGATCTATTGAGCACATAAAGACCCATAAGGACCGTAAGTTTGTATTTTACTATCGGTCGAAGTGAAGTAGTTGAAAAAGTTTATGCTTATCCAACGCTTTCAAACATGAGCACGTCAAAAAGATTTTGAATGAAAATAAACGAGAAAATTCGCTACTTCTCGAAATTCTACTTCAAGAAAGGAAATAAGTAGTACTAAAAACACTGTGCTTTCTACGAGCAGCATCTGTGCCTATTTTCGTTCGATGTTAAAATTGCACCTCAGTCTGGTCGAACAATTGGGGCGCAATTCAACGTAATAATGCAAATGGTTGAGCAAGATCGAGGTGTATGCAAGTAGTCATGAGATCACTAGACAAACATTTAGAAAAGGTTGGCCACAAAAAACTACTCCGCTAGCCAAACAACCTCAGACTGAAAGGCGATTCTGCCTCGAAGCGCGTTCGGGGTAGGTTTCTGGAAAAATTTACGCTTATTCAGCATGAAATTTTATTAAAAAAGTGCCAAGAAAGCAAACATTTGCTACCAGTCCGGAAATTTAGGCAAAGAACTTTAAACGATATGTCAGTCACCAACATAGACTGCGATAGAAAAGTTTAAGCCGCGTTAGATCTTTTGAACGAATATGACAAGGTAAATCATACGACTCTTTGCCAATATATACTAGACTCACTTCTAAATCGGATGCGTAAACGTCATCAGTCGTCACATGTCATTCGATCGCCAACTCCACGTTGAGGGCAGATGATAGCGGTAAAAGAGCTCAACGCCAAGCTATCGTAGTAGTTCCTTCAACAACGCTCCGCTTCGAAACCATGAGAGCCGAAACAGTGTACCCGTAACTGTACGGCTGAAGAACGGACATCAAATCGTTCGGATACCATCCGGTTCGGCACTCAACACCTGTGTTACGATGCTGTCAAGGCGAGCCATAGCGCCGGTAAAAACAACATTGAGGAGCCATAACTGCGAAGAGTAACTAATTGCCTTTGTCTTACATGCCATTAGACTAGGGATAGACATAACGAACCAATGCCCTAGTTTCTGGATTATAGAATAAGAAGAAAATGTTCAACAGATTTTACCCACTGTACTGTTCGGTCAACACGATGACCCTGACACCAGAAGCGTCGACCGCCAAGAGCATTAAGAAGACACCCTTCCACAAGCTCCTCTTTGGTCGGACGGTGTTGAGCAATGCTACAACAACAACGATGAGACTAAGAAAGGCATTCGGATTACATAATATGGTAGTCTCCTGCACGAGATTCCATTTAAAGAAAGTGTATCGAAAAGCAGCAATGTCACAAAGGTTCGCAGCACATTCACCGACTTGGCTTTTATTCCTTTTCGCTGATAACATTATTCACACGCTAGTCTCCATCACGATATGTGCCATTATAAAAATGTTTCCCAAAAACTGTTATCACCTCTGACAGCAGACAATTGATGACATTGTGCGACAAGAAAACATGTCTGCAAGAATAACAAAAATAGCTGCGCAGTAAGGATAACTGCTGCCAGACCAAACAGACCACCCTCGACAAAAAAAAAACAGGAACATTACTACTGGCATTTGCTTTGCTACCCTTCGATATAATAAATTGTTATCTGCAATCTACTTTTATCAGCATGAACACACTGTGCATGCCGCACCAGCATCCTTTACGCTCATAAAAACTACCTGATTTGTCGCCAACGCCACTTAATCGACCTGACTGGCCGCTTACCTGTCACCTGTGCGCATTCCTTCGTTTTTATGCATTTCCATGCAGCCAATTCAATTTATCGATTCTTTTACCTGGGAGTCCCATGAGATTGCATTGTATTTATATATGTATTTGTATTTGTATTTGTATTTGTTTTTCGTGCTTAGTGTTGTTGTTGTTTCCCGTTGTTTAATTTTGTTTGCTTTTGTTAAACTTTGCTGCGTGCAAACACAAGTACATATATAAAGATTACTTACACTTTTTTGCTTTAAACCACTCATTAATAACAGATTTTTTCTATATTTTTTTTTTTAATTGTTTATTTGCAGATTGAAACCTCAGCAAGCTAAATGAGGAGCGCCTGTGTTAGGCTGGGATGTGCATTTGAGTGTAGTTGAAATTAAATTTAAAAAAAAATTTGGATGCAAATCAAAAATAAACAAAACTAAAAAAAGTGGACTTGAAAAGACCGCGTGACCGTAATCAAATGAATCAGTTATCTTGTGAAGCCATAATGCAAAAGTGAGCGTGGCAAAATTTGAGATTTATTAAATTTGTTCGCTGTTGTTGCGCCGCATTCAACATTGCAGCCAGCAATTGCTGTGCGATCGTCGTGGCCGACAACTTTTTGGCGTACAAGCAGCAAAAATACCAAAAAAAAAAAACAAAAAAAATCATAAAACAAAGGGGACATACTACATACACTTGTAAATACCCCCGAAAGTGAGTAAATAACAAAAGAAATATTGCTTCTCAAAACTAAATATATAATAAATAAATAAATACTGAATTTTCAACCATTAATAAATATAAACAGCGTTTGCGAGTGTGTACAACAACCCAACCATTCAAGTACGTGGTACATACCGCAAAAATTACAATAAAGTGAATAACTAAGTGCAGCAGACGATCAGATCGGCTGAATCAGAAATGAACAGCGTTGACGGCGCACCCAATGCCACGATTTTAGCTGAAGGAGCCCCAACACGCGCGACAGTAACGACCGGCGAAACCATAAATAGTACTACTGCAACTACTACTACTAATGTCGCTGCTGTTGTGAGTGCGAAAACAACAGAGCCTACAACAATAATAGCGACAGCAACAACCACAACCATAACGTCAAACGCAATAAAAACAACAGCAGCATTTGCTGATGCAACCGACGACGACCGATTCCACGAAATCGAACCGAAAAATGTATCAGTTTGCGCCGTTGAAGAGCAGCCATGGCAACGGCCTAATGAATCGCAAATAATGCCAATAAATGAAAAAACAAATCCCAAAACAGTAGCAACACCAATCGAATCAGCAGCACCAGCACCAGCAATAAAACCAATAAACACAATGGGTAACACTAAAACAACAAATAATGAAAAATCAGACAACACATCAGCAACAACACCAGTTATGCAAGCAACACCAGTAACGACGGTCCCAGCACCAGAAACCGCACCGCCGACGACGGCAACCGATACAACAATAAAAATTAAAAATACAGATGCCAATGATGTTGAAATGACAGATATGGCAACCCCAGAGGGCAACAATAGCGACAATGCAAGCGAGTGCACAGCCTCCGATATCACCGCCGCCGGCACTGCCGTCATTGATAACAAAGCCGACGACGATGTTAAGCCACAACCACCATTATTGACAACAGCGGAAGGCGATAATTGGAAACTCAATGAGATGGAATTGTGTCGCTGTTGTGGCAAGCCCAATGTCACGCTCTATGATCTCTTTCCCAACGGCAATGCAGACGTTAGCAGCAGCAGCGTTGATGATGAAGGGGAGAAAAATGAGGAAAAGGCGGCGGTAGTTGGGGAGATAGAGCAGAGCAATGCAATTCTAAACGCGGATGCAGCAGCAGATACTGAAATGCAAGTATTGGAAAAAGAATCAAACGATGTTGTTGTGTATGATGTAGAGGACGCGCTGCAGGCGAGTGTAGTTGACAAAGCGAAAAATGGAGCAGAAATAAAGCAGAAAGCAACCAGTGACGCGACCGGCTCATCCGTCAAAGATGCAACAAAAGCAACAACTAATGACAAGTCGAAGATCGATTGCGAGACGGTGAACACACCAAAACTTTGTTATCGTACAATTGCTGCTTCTATCGCTGCGGCGACTGCAGCAGCCACAGCTACAACGTCCACAGATACAGCTACAGCTACAGCCAATACCACGACCACTAGCGCCAGCGCCAGCGCGATCATACGTCAAAGCGACGATCCCACCTGCCAAACAACCAATGACCCAGTTATTGATGCTGCCACCAGCAATGATGTTGGTGAGTGTGGTCGTCGTCGTGGTGAGGAGGGTGATGCTGTTGCTGATCCTAATGCCGCTCAAGCTGGTGCCGGTGCTACGCGTGTGAAAAAATCTGCAACAGCAGACATGGTTAATGCTACTACGTCGATGACGACGACGACAACGACAACGACAAAGAAACATGCCGTTGATGCTGCCAACAACAATAGCAACGTCAAAGAGTCAAATAACGCCAATGGCCAGGGACAAAATAGCGACGACATGGAGAATATCTTGCAAGAGATGCAAATTTGGCAACTATGGGTGAGTCTTATTGCAGTTTACCGTATGATAAATTACATACTCGTATATGCCTTTCCCAAAACGACTATTATTTACCGCTTTTTTTTTTTTGTGGCGTTACTTTAGTTGATGAAAAAATAGAAATCGCAATCGTGTTTGCGAATGTTGTTTGCACAAACGTGTATATCTGGTTACAATGAACCTTCAACGAAAATTGTTATGTAATTTTGTGCTTTGTTTTCTCTTCTCCAAATTTGTTTACATTGACGTTGTTTATGGATTTCGATTGCATCTTTTTTACTTATTTATTTGTTCAACGCTTGGCGAGATTGTGACGTAATTCGTGGAATCGCATCGGTTTTTCGCTGACTACGCTCCTTAGGATGGTGAGCAGTTGTTGTTAGTGAGTTAATATGGGCGGTAGCGCCTGGCAATATATATATATATATATATATATATATACATATGTACGATGTTTTAGGCGCTTTAAACCACGGTCGTGCACTGAAAAACTGACCCATAGTGTCGCCTAAAGTGTAGTATCTTGTATCGGTTTAACAGAGGTGGGAGTTGCAAAACTTGCGCACATGGGAATTCATGGAAGGAAATAGCCACTAAGCCAACTGCAACATTCCAATCAATAGGGTTAGTTTTCTGAGCTAGGAAATCATTTGAATTATCTGTCACGAAAATAATATTAGAATCGCCTAGAAAGTGTCAGATGTCAAGATTCTGGTGCTAGAAACGCACGGTACAACCAAAACTGTAACCTTCCCATTTAAGATTACCTCGTAGGCAAGAGAATTCAGCTATCGCGATCTTCATCTACTGACACGAACACGTAGAACCATGTAAAGTCCATCAAAATTGTTCGTAGACGATCCGGAGAAAATATTTGCCGTTGTGCAGAATTTTAGTGTTGCTATTCCTGTATTATTGATCCATCTTAGTAAAGATTTTTTATTTATCCGCCCATTGCATTTTTTGGCATTTTTTTGAGGGTTTTGGCAGACCTATAAAATATATTTACTTTGAAAAAATAGTTAAATAAATGAGTGGAAATCTCCTGAAGAGAAACAGAGTTTTCCGATGGCAAAATATTAATTTTCAACAATTTTATAGCATAAAAATTCCGACTTTACTTTTTCACATGCATTTTTGGACCACCCAGTCAGGGCTTCAAAAGAGTGAAGCATACTTAACAGGCTTCACTAAGCCCCCAAAAATCGAAGAAATTATGTATTTTGGGCGAAATATGCCATTACTCTTTGCTCAATATTAGGCGTCCACAACAGTTTTGTACTTAGGATCAGCTGTCAGAAAGCTGTAGTTGAATCGAGAGAGTAATTGCGTTAGGTATATTTTACTTCCTACTGAAAAAAAAAAATTAGTTCTATTCTGCCTGGATTCGCTGAACAGCCGCCATCATCCGTTCAGTTAGTCATAGAGGAGTTTAGGTCAACTTGTGTTGGTGTGTATAGAAATCAAACATAATGAGAAGAAAATTTTGTAATGAGAAAAAATAGCCATAAAAAATAGCTATATAAAAGGAAAATGTAATTAAAATTTTTTTCAAAAATTAATCATTCAATCTTCCGCAAATGAAACGAAAATCGGTCACACGCATCAATGATGTTGCCTACTAAAGATCCACACCACTATCCGCCCATTTTTTCTAATGTAAATATACGTTTTATTCCTTTAGCCTATAACACACCGTCCCTCCTTTCGGAATTCACCTACTACAAACTTTAGCTATAATCTATTCACCTTTAATTGCTCTTTGGCGAAGAAAAATTGAACAACCAACCACTACATGGCCCTCCCTACCCCCCTCTCCTTCTTCCTTTATTTAACAAGCAGTTTCCGTTTACATTTCCTCGCATGCGCTCAGTAATTTATATGCTGCCCCCTAACCAACCATTTGTCTATTATTCAATCAAAATTAAGCTCATGTGATAAGAATGTTTGCCATTAGTTCACAGCAGTCTAGAACGTAAATGCCCTCAATTAATCCGCGCAACACATGTACATACATGTATGTACATATGTACATATGTAAGTAGGCGATGCCTTGAGGTGTTACACTCATTCATCTTCACCAAATATGTATACAAGCTTGTAATTTATTGACTTTGCGCAATTAGTCTTACTAATGATTGGTTTTGTCCACCATTTCGCCCCCCCCCGCCCTGCTTTCTCAGTCGGTGTGGTTAAGAAAGAGTTCAAACCACCGCATAACATCAAATCAACGCACAGTGTGGGGTCAATTCATCCATCCTCAATAGAATGCAATGTCATTGCATTGTTTGCTTAACAAATGATGGACAATCATGATTTAACCTTTGTTTTTTTTTTTGACGTGCCACATGCGAGTCATATAAGTAAGTCTCAGTTAGTCACACACATACATACCTATCTACATTTGCAACTACTTATTATTTTATTTTTTGGTTTTATTGCCTTCCAGCTGCTTGGATTTCTGTTTCCACCAGCTATGTATCTGCGGCGTACGTTTGATGAGTAAGCTTTAAGCCTTCGCATAGCTACACATATGCATGTAATACCACCCACAATGATTAAACATCAAAACGAACAAAAGTAAAGAGTCATATTAACAAATCAGACCTGTCAATTTGGAATCGCTATTCATTTTTCACTTTTATATCGGACATGCGATTTTAATGTATTTTGTAGATGTTGTTCAATTATTCTCACAATCAGTCAATTTGTCAATGGTTATTGGCTGCTTGGCTTAATTTTGCCATGGCTCTAATGAGCCGCGTTCAATTGGCTGTTTTTTTTTTCTTCTTCATCTTTTTTCGTTCATAGATGCTGTTATTCCATTAAAAATCATGTTCGTGCTCATATCAAACACAATTGTCGACGTGACTGCATTAAGTTGTTTGATTAATTTCTGGTTTTTTTTCGCTCTTTTTTGCTAGCAAACATTACCGCATGCGACAAAAACTAAACCAAAAAATGTTCAAAATACATAAAGCAATCAAAATACTCACGAAACTAGAGGTCAGATATGTATACATAGTAAAACTGCGTTTTTGGCTGACTTTGAAATTTTAAAAAGTATGTATATTTGAAATACTCAGGGTAGCAAATGAAAATGCACCCTAACTAATAAAGTTGGAAGGACTAGATTTTTAGGATGTGGTTAGTGATGGCACGATTAAATTAATCGCATAACCGATTATAATCGATTATTTTCATTCGGTTAAGGATTTAATATTTCAATAACTTCCATAAATATTTATTTATTAATACTTAATCATTTTCAACCCATAACTTCTGCCGCAAGGCGGCAAGAAAAGCGAGTCCATCAAATACTCTCTTTGCCGCCTTAGCTAAACTGAGACGTCGAAAATGTCTCTGTCCGTACTTTTCCACAATCTGTTGGACTCACCGTTCGACAAAGACATTGGCGATTAGGAGCGCTACGTATGTAAGTCAATCTATGAGCATTATCATAACGGGGAACTAATCCGCATAAGGATAGCCACTGCAATTTAAGCTAAAATTAAATTACAAATAAGTTAATGAAACAGTTGTTGTTATCAGTACTGTCATTATCGATTTATTTATGGCTACCGATAAATATTAGTTATCGATATATTCATCCAAATCGGCATAGTTGTAACAATCGTAAAGACATCGGTTCATTAATCGTCATCGATTTTTTAGGTTGTCGATTTATTTATAGCTAATCGGCATATTTATCGCCAACGATTTTTTTATAGTTACCGATTTGTTAATCGGTCTCGATTTATTCGCGGTTATTCATTAAATTGGTTATATATGTATGTTCTAATAGCTATCGATTTATTTAAAGCTATCAGTAAATTTTATAGTTATCGGTACGTTTGTAGTTATCGATTTATCTGTTGCATATAGTTATCGATATTATTAATGTCATCGACATATTTAATTTTACCGACATATTTAATGTTATCGATATATTTAATGTTATCGATATACATACATATCTCTCGTTTTCGTTCCTTAATTGACGTTTTATTTGCTATGTTTCAGTTACGGATAAGAAAATAATCGTCCATCAAGCCTTGAATTCTATACCAACCATTCTTAGAAATCTCCACAATGTTCTTCATTTAATTTTTTACATTTTTATTCGTATTTAACCTTAAAATTTTACTCGCTGCCGTAGCTAATTTCCTACTCCACTTTTATACCATCTGCCAAAGCTTCCAAATTCCTTGTGCAAAAAAAAAAAAAAAANTTCCAAATTCCTTGTAAAAAAAAAAAAAAAAAAAAAACAAAACTTGCCGAAGTATTTTATAGCGATTTTTCTCCTTTATCTCCATTCTTTCCTCTACTCCAACCCGAAAAATTCCTTTGGTAATATTTTTCTTATTTTGTTACCAAATGCGGGTTACTAACGTACGTACGTACGTACGCAGCTTCCCACAATCATACATACATACATATGTACATAAATATTTGTTAATCTTCAAATTGACTTAACACACAAATGCGAACCGACATTGCCCGACGACTAATTGGTTGCACAATATTTTGTTGTTGTTGTTGTTGTTGCTTTGTTTTTATGACTGCGCTTAAATGCTCACTAAACATACATATCGAGTATATTTGTTTTTCCAATATTAAATGTCTACATACATAAATGGCTACATACATACTTACATACATACATACATGAATGACTTGTGTTGGGAATAAGCTTAATGAACGCTTATAAAAAGGTATTCTTCTATATCTCTATACAGATTAGTGAATTCTAATAATAAGATTTATGCTTTTATTGCCGCTAATGGTATTTAGTTGGTGCGTTCGCTTCAATGAACCCCCCCTTCAGTCAACCGTACATCCATCGCTCCATCCATCCATTCATCCTTATATGCTTCTGCGTGCATTTATTTCTTCGTTCGTTGATCAGACTTGGCTGATTTATGGGTACGCTTGTTTGTTTGTTTGTTTTTTGTTTTTCCAATATTGTTGCTGTTGTTGCTACTGGCAAATGAATCACGTGTGCTCAATTTTTATTACCTTCAAAGAGCAATAAAAACGATAACAGCGCACAACTGCAACAACAACAACAAGAGCAGCAAAAGCAACAAAAAATACAAGGCTCG